TAGGCAACACGGGGTTTTCCTCCGGGGGCTTCCCCGGTTTCTCCGTGGCAACAATTACTCCATTCACACACAGACGAAGGCAATGGCAAACCACTTCTGGATCATCTGCCAAGAACGTATATGAACAGGTCCCAGTCCGAGAAAAGGATGGAAGGATCCTGTTCATATGGACCTGTCATCAGACAGAACACTAAATAATAACATGATAGGATGGGGAGGTTCTGAGACCTTACAACTGCTGCTAAGATAAGATCATAAACTATAGTCCTATACACAGTTCATTGCATAGGACATTACATTTTCATTAGTGGCATATGCCATTCATCAAAATGTGACTGTTCTTACATCAGAAAATGTACCTAAGACTAGAAACACATGATAATGGATGCTGTTTTCTGTTGCTGAAGATCATGATATAACCTACTATTTATTAAAGTTTTAAGAGAGTGACCATGTTAATGCAGGACTGCCCGTGTCTATGGGCACACATCTCAGGTAAGGTATTTTATTTGTTGAATTATATGAAACATGTTTATGTAACAGTGCTGATTCAAACATTTACATAATGTACGGTCAACTGAGAAAATGCAGTGTGGTCATAATTATATTTGTTAATTGTTTTGGAGAAGCTATATTAGCAAACACAAAGTAATTGAATTTCAATTGATGCCAAGGGGAAACAGTAAGAAACCTATTCAGTACAGTGTAATTTAATTCCAATTCTGCCTGAAAGGTGAAAATTGCTACCCATATAACGAGGTAGCTAACCTTACGCCTCTTTCACACACAACGGTTTCGTCCGTACGGCAAGAATCCGCACAAATTTTTTCCGTCGCTTGTTGCTATTCACACACCACGGTTTCATAAACACCGTTGAGGCGACCGCAGTTGCTTTTCCTCATTTCAGAATGAATCTTAATCGGATTATTGCTATGTGGTTTTTGCACTGTCGTCGAAAGAAATCGAAGCGTGGTAATAGGATGTATTGGGTCCATCCAATCAATCAAAGGAGGGTTGAAATTGGTGTATTTTACACGTTATTTGAAGAACTTCGAAGAGATGAAAACAATTTTTTTAACTATTTCCGTATGTCCATTTCCTCAATTGACGAACTGCTTGGCCGATTGAAATATAGCCTTCAGCGTCAGAATACAAAAATTAGAAACTGCAATCAACCTGTGGAAATGTTAGTTGTGACAATTAGGTAAGTAAAATACTACGGTATTCTTTTTAAAATTTTAATTATTTTAAGTTTTAAATATTTATTGTCATTTTCAAAATATGAATTAACAAAAGCATCATTGAACAGTAAACCGAAATCAATGGATTCTATAGTCCCGGTTGTATTACTTGAAACTGTAGTAGCTGTAGACAGCGCCGGGGACAGATTTTCCGACGGTTTGTAGGAATGAGTTGATGAAGTCAACTGTCTCCCATAATGCTCATAAAACTGACTTCTTGTTGGGAATTGCATAGACGATGGCACTGCGGTGTTCTTGTGCGTGGGAAAATGTAGAAGGCTGAGAGGACATTTCGTATTTGATATAAGTTGGAGTACTCCAATCTGAAATTGTACAATGTCGTCATCTTCAAAAGTTTCCAGTGACGGAATAATACTGTTAAAGAATGATAAGTGTCTATTTGGTTTACTTCCTTCCAGTGCTTTTAACATTTTCAATTCCAATTCATCTGGTTTACGGCGCCTGTGTGAACCCAGTCCAGTTCGTGGTGTTTCAAAATTAGCTTCTGTAGGAATTTCAGGATTAGTGGCCCCCTCTTCTGTACCTGCTCTGGGAATTTCAGGATTGGTGTCATATTCATCAGTTTCTTCTCTAGGATTTTCCGTGAGACTATCTTCAGTTTGCCTTACATAATTCAATTTTGCCAAAAATTTAAGTTGATCGTTGTACACGTATTTCTTAATTTTTGTAGTTCCTGCACCGGATGTCTTGGTTTCTCTGGGTTTTTTTGCATGATTTCACAAAGGCGTCTCGAACATTTGTCCATCTTCTCATTACTTCTTTGCTTGTATCAATGAAATGTACCTATAACACTTGTATTTTATGAAAATTAAAGCGTACGTCGGTTGAAGCAACGTTATAAGTTACAAAAAAATCAAGTGTTTGTTTTCTATGTAATAATGTTCTATACATTACGAACAATGTGTAACCGTCCCACTCCTGTTTGCTGTTGGAGTTGCCCGGCTCGGTTGCAGTCTTGTCGATCTCTGTCGTATGTGATGTAATTCGGGATTTCTGCTCATGTAGGCATGGAACTTTTCTCAGGGAATATTACATGGAGGGGTATAAGCTGAATGCCAGCGAGGAAGGTTTCGGTAATGGTCTTGAGATTTAAGTTCGTAGTTTCACAAGCACAATTTATTTCTTTTACAATTATCATTCACTGGCCGAATCGAGCTACAAAACAATTTAGGATGTTGCTTCCTCTGAATTTCAGAAAAGAGTGTCCTCGAAGAAAACTTTCCTGTCCTTTAGTTATAGGACTTCCCCCCTTAACTTTCACAAAAAATGATGTATTTGGGCAGTAATGATGCCCTAGCTCACGTGGACCATTAAAAAACCCTTTAGCCGGCGGGAGCCCTCTGAAAGAATTTCGGGGGTCACACGGTGCCTTAATTCTTTCCTTTACAGTCGTTGCTTGTGCAACTTTCTTTTCTTTTCTTTTTTAAGTGTCAGTGAGCCTTCTGCACTGAATGCAGAGCACCTACCAATAAACTGACCCCTGGCCTGAAAAGGACGCACTTGCCTAACAAGTGAAAAGCGTAAATCTTTATTACTTGTTTCCAATTTATTTTTATTTGCGCCTCACCGGGACTCGAACCCAGAACGCGCGGTCACAAATGTTATTATATGGTAATTAGCCACTTCATTTTTTTGTAACTTACAACGTTGTACCAGCCGACGCTTCAATTAACATGGAACTAATTTAATTGTTTGCGTCGTCTTTCCAGGTGTTTGGCAAGTAGATGTACTTTTACAGATCTGCATTATACGTACAGAATTGGCATTTCAACAGCGAGCAAGATAGTCAGAGATGTATGCAGAGCTATCTGGTCTGTCATGCATTTCGGATGTATACCTATGCCTACAAGAGAAAAGTCGGAATTGATTGCTTCAGATTTTGAGAAACGTGCTAATTTTCCATACTGTATAGGAGCAGTTGATGGTAAACACATTAGACTTATATGACCACCTAACAGTGCTTCAATGTATTATAATTACAAAGATGTTAATTCTGTGGTATTGATGGCAGTTGCAGACTCAAATTACCGCTTTGTGTACGTCAACATAGGAAGTTTTGGTAAAGATTGTGACTCTACAATTTTTAAGCGATCTGCTCTGTGGACATCAATTGAAAGAAATATGCTGGAACTACCAAATGAGAAATGTCTTCCAGGAACGGAATGTCCAGATGTGCCATATTTCTTTCTCGGAGACGAAGCATTCGCGCTACATAAACATCTACTGCGACCCTATGGTGGGTCACACCTCACTTTAAATAAAAGAATTTTTAATTATCGCTTGAGTAGAGCTCGTAGATGTGTAGAATGCGCATTTGGCATTTTAAGTAACAAGTGGCGAATTTTCCATCGTCCGATTAACGTTGATCCTGATTTTGCAGTAGATATTGTGAAGGCTTGTGTTGTCCTACACAATTTTGTTCGCGACAGAGATGAATTTATGATTGAGGACACAACAACAGTTACAGGGTTGGAGGATTTACAAGGAGAACAATCAGTGAGTGGGGGATTATCTGCAAACAATGTAAGAAATATATTGTCTGCTTATTTTGTATCAAATGTAGGAGCTGTCCCCTGGCAAATGTCAAAAATATAAATTATAACTAGGGCCAGGATCTATATGCAAAAAAATGAAATATGGATCATCAAACAAATATGCAAACTCCATTTCTTTATATCATAAGCAGCCCCTATTGTTCATGCAGAGTAGTTTATGCAATTAGTGAAGTGCCATTATAACACATAAGCTTGCCAATATTGTGATTATTAATAAAAATAACGGAGGGGCCTAAAACTCTTACATTAATTGTATGAATTTGTATATGAATCCTGGCCCTAATTATAAAAGTTTGAATGAAAAGAAGTGTAAAATATGTATACTATAAATTTGTAGTGTAAAAATGAAATTAATCACCAAATGCATTCTTTTCAACGTCTATCAGTTCTTCAAAATCTTCCTTCAGTCCTATACAGACTTCCCGCCAGGCTTTTTTGTGGCATTTCTGTCCTTGTAAATATCTGTAGTTTTGTCCCACAATACAGGTCTGGCTTCAACTAAAGATATCAACACTTCCATATCGATATCAATTTTCTGTTCACTCATTGTCAGAATGCCGATGAACACAAACAAGCTACCGGACGACTGATTGCCGGTCTGTGTGGAAACATGCATAAAAGTCAAGTACGCCTCGGTAGAAACGGCAACCGCACGGCGACCGTGTATTCAGTGGATGTTTCCGGCTGCAACACGGCAACCGTCACATGTGAAAGCTGCTATGTCTCGACGTGCTCCACTACTTTACACGGCATAAAACGTACGGACGAAACCGTTGTGTGTGAAAGAGGCCTCACGGTAGTTGTCGATGCTCAGCAAGATCTCCCGTTATGGAGTTCCTAGTTACTAGCATGTCTATGGTTAACAGTTTCGTACCAAACCTCAGGGAATCACATACATTTAAAAAAAACACGTATGTTACTTCTCTTATGAACATTGCACAAACGAAAGTGCGTTCATTCCTCTTATTTTGGCAGCAGCACTGCTACTATCTGTATCCACCTACTGTGAGAGCAAAGATTACCGTTTCACAGGTTATGACCGCGAAGGATAATTGTTCTTCCTTTGATTTGATTTGATTTGCTTCATACTCTTTCAAGAATTATTTTTGATTTTCTCTAGATAAGTGTTGAGTACAGGATTCTAAATGCTTTAAATGATGGTTTACTATTTATAATGCAAATACTAAAATTGCGCAATTGTTTGTGTGGCATCTCACGCGTTCTGATTATGGCTAGAAGACATCGTATGAGGTAAACTCAATTTATGAAGACTATTAAAGTTGTGTATTCTTTATTCCAAGAAGAAAATATGATAAAAAAATAATCAACCAATATTACGGCACACAGCTATAATACTTATTTGTGCCTGCTTGAAGATTTGTCCAAATACGGTCAGACAGACTCTAAAGGTATTTGGAAATAGTTTTCCATTTATGTGAATTGGTGATTAATAATTTTGACCTAAATGTGTTGGTCGGAATAGATAAAGGTTTGTGTTTAAAGTTTTAATGTTAGGTGTACCTCAGAGAGATTTCTGCAAGGCAGAATCAGCTGTTTTACAGCTGACGTGCTGCAGGTTAGGTACATGCTGTGAAATAAGAAATATCTGATAAAATCGTGTTACATTTAGAGATGTGATGAAATCACAGTAAAAGCTCACATGTTGATTTAACATTGAAACACTTATTATATAGAATGCAAGATATATATTTCAGTAGGAGGCTCAGTACCTAAAAGTTGGTGTTTAACATTTATTAGGTATATTATATTGTTAGGCCTCATTATGTAATCGTTTTATGCAGGTAAATCAGTCGCTCTGAGGAGAATTCTGCAGAACATCACAAACAATGACAAGTTTTTTTGTGGAAAGGATGCTTTGAAGGTTATGCTACATGACATATGCTGCAACTTTTTGGAAAAGTAGAGTAGAGTAGAGTTTATTTACATTCCATAGATCCTTCTTAGGACTCAACCAATTTTCTACAAGATACCCTGCTTTTGACACCAGCCATTCTAATTATTTTCTTTTGCATGTAAAAAACTTTATTACTGTCTGTTGAATTTCCCCAAAAGATTAATCCATATGACAATACAGAGTGAAAGTATGCAAAGTAAACTAGCTTTAAAGTATCTATTGTCATGAGTGGTACGACTGTTCTCATGGCAAAGCATGCAGAGCTTAATTTGGGAATAATATACTCAATGTGTTTCTTCAAATTTAAGGTACTGTCGACTTGTAAGCCAAGGAATTTGTTTGTTTCAACTTCCACAATTAATTTTTCTTCAAAACCTGTATTTAATCTAGGATATGTCTTGTGTTTAGTAACAAATTTTATGAAATTTGTTTTTTCAAAATTTAGTGCCAGTTTGTTAGCTCTAAACCATTTGTTTATGTTGGCAAAGACATCATTCATGATATTTTCAAGATAGATCAATTCTTGGTGTGCAATAATGATA